AAGTATCCATAGGGGTCGTATGTGACACATGTCTTGCTTCTCTCAGTCGAATAATCTCTTGTTGTAGGCTATGAATTTCGCGTCTAGCTTCTTCGATCACTAGATCAATTTGAGGTTCTTTACTTGGATTGCGAAGAAATGCAATCTCCTTTCGTACACTATTCATAAGAGCTTGAAGATCTGCAAGCGTTGCCACTCTATTGTCTACTTGTGGAGATGCACTGTCTATGACCTGGTCTACTTCCATATTTAGAGAATAGATGGATTAAAATTTTGAGAGAAGAAGAAATTACTAAGTCTCTTGGAGAAAATTGTAGCACTACTTGTCACTAAAACCTACTCGGAGAAAAGGGAAAAAAAAAACTAAACGATTTCAGTTTTAGAGGAGGGTAATCCGCAACCTCTAAAAATGCCTCAATGCTTTTGAGAAGAGGGGTAATCCGCACTCTATCAAGAAGGCAAAGCTCTGAAATCGATGTTAACAGTCTTTTCTACTAGCTATGCTAAACAAAAAGAAGGAATTAATATCAGTCCAAGAGAAGGTAATCCGCAACCCTCAGAACGCTCAAGTATCTCCAAGGAAAGGGGTAGTCCACTCTCTGCCTCAAAGAACTAAGCTCTGATATTGTGATTGAGAAAATATCAGTTTAGAGGAAGGTAATCCGCAACCCCTAAAGCGCTAGAATACCTTCAAGAAGATGGGTAATCCGCTCTCAAACAAGAAGGATTCAGCTTTGATATTAAGATAAAGGTAGTCTCGACAAATTGTCACGGACCAAAAATACAAACAAGAAATCTAAACAAGAAGTTCAAGAAGAAATGACAAGAACTAGATTATCAGAGGAGTACAAGAGCAACGCCCAGAGAATTGAGCTAGAGCTTCAAGAGATGCGTTGTCGAGACTGAAGAACTCTTTAGCCTCGACTCCTATATATACTACTGGCCTATGGTTCTAAGGAAGCGCATCAAGAAGCTTCCCAAGAACTATGAAGCTTCTCGAGCAATTACCCAAGAGCTAGGAAGCTTCTCAAGTAACTTCCTAGAATCTACTAGAATATTCTAAGAATCTTTTAGAGCCTTCTAAAGGAATCTTTAGGGAATCTTAAAAGAATCTTTAGAGAATCTTTGAAGAATATTCTAAGAGAATATTCAAGGAATCTTTTGGAAGTTTCTAGAGACTTTTTTCTAGAAGGTTCTAGAAACTTGTCTCTAGAAAGGTCTAAGGACTATGTCCCTAACAGTAGGATATCAATCCTATTATATGATAAAACTACAAATATTATATCTAGTAGTTGCAAAAAATATACTCAGATATTTGAAAGAAACTTTAGACTTTGAAATATTCTATCTTAAAAAAGATCAAAATGACCTACTTACAAATGCCGATGCAAATAAGCTAAGTAATACAGATTCACAAAAATCAACCTTTAGAATTTTGTACAAGTTAGAATCAACCTCAATTCTTTCATCAATCAAACTATAGCCTATGTTATTTCTATCTTTAACAAATGGAAAATATTATGTTCTCTTCAAAGCTATAAATAACATAGTATACTACCATCATTTGTTTGAAGCACTACTATTCAAAAATAATGAATCAATATCCCTACTATGCAATAATATGAGTAGTATAAAGCTTGTATGGAATCCAATAATGCTTAATTGAATAAAGTATATAGAACTTGATAACAAAATCAAAGTTTGCTATGTATCAATTCTTGAACAACAAGCAAACATCTTCATAAAGTATTTAGGAACTCAATATTTCATAAAAAATTGAGAAGAAGCAACTAATATTTCATAAAAAATATCAACTTTCGTACATATAGATGGCTATGAATTTGTAAACTAGATATATCTAAAAAAACACCTTATATATTAAAATACTTCAATATAGGATATTAACTATTTACAATTTTTTTTTTTAATCTTGTTGTGTTTTAAATCTCATGAATTCACAATCTTTGTAACCATGGACATGTTTATGACAATCTAATCACATAAAACTTTGCTCCTATGTACCACATAAAAACCTTGAACCTTCCTTATAGATGTAATAGCCACACTTGAAGAAAAAAGTCCTTGGCCTCAAGGATCATCAAACCATACTACTTCACTTATCAGTCTCATTATCTTTATTCTAACCTCGTGAAAAATCCCTTTTGTAATTGCTATTGATTCCTTGCATTTCTTTCGACAAGAAAGAGATGTAGATGTTGACAATAACAAAAATAATATATGAAGTACAAGATTGCCAAGATGTCAAAATACTACAACAATCAACCACAATGCTAAGAGGAAAATTTGAAGCTATAAAACCAAGACAACTATAAATAAGAAAAATCTAATCTAAAACCTATTTAAGAATTAAAAACTAGTATGAAAATTACCTACTATAGACAATTCTTCTAGTAACAATTGAAGCCTCTTAAAAGTATCTACAAAAATAGCCATATAAAAACATATAATTTATAAAAAAGAAGTACAAATTGAAAGGAAATGTTAGTGAATCACTTCAGCAACTTCTAGAATGATATCAACTTGTCATGTCATAATACTTAAATTAGTATTACTTCATTCTATTAGTTTTGCTCAAAATTTGACTCCATTATATATATATATATATATATATATATATATACATATACTCTTCATGCTTTGAATACAATCCCTCTTTGTATATTGAATATACAAATTATCACACAAGTGTAGATATTAATATAGTTATGGTATCAATTATTTAGTGTCTAAGATCTAGGTGCTGGTTTGCTTTGGTTTTTGCTTCAATGAAGATAAAGAAATGTCGGCCATTTTATTGAAGTATTTATTAGGGCTTTATTGTCCAACTAAAAAAATTCATAGCTATTAAAATGCATAAATACTGTAGTTCATAGAACATCTCTAAAATTCTATTTTTAGTAAATTTTTTACATTCTTTAGATGTATTGCATGGATTGCTATAAATACTTAAATTAATTTCAAATGGATCGTCACACATCTTTCATTTTCTTTGATCTCTCTATTAAACGTAATATGCAAAGAAAGGAATGACAATGAAAGATGCATGGAATAAGGTTGTTTAGAGAATGTGATATAGACTAATTAGGACAATTTGAATGGAGATATAGTATAGGTATCTCTAAAAAAAAATTAAAAAAATTATTATTTTTAATTAAAATAATATATTTTAATAATAAGATTTATTCATCTTGTTTACTTTTGTGTTTAAGTTGTCTTTAACTAAAACTAAAAATAAATAAATTTAGAATGTAGTTTTAAATAAATTCCATTAATTTTACAAGTTTTAGGTTCATATTGTATGTTTTAAATTAATATTTTTCTAAAATTACAATAACTATTTTCTTCTTCCATTAAAAAGTTTTATTCTTTAGTGAATTTTATGTTGTTTTTTTTTTCATTAGATTTTCTATTCTTCAAACTTTTTCTTTCTTTTTTATTTCTTTTAATTTCTCTTAATATATTAATATTCATATTAAATTTATACTTACACAAAGAAATATAAATAAATAAATAATACTCTAAAAAATATAATAATAAAATATTATTTTATTTTAATTAAAATAGTATGGAAATAAATTTTATAAAAAAATATCATTTCAAATTATGAATAAACAACATAGGTTCAAATAAATAAATAATAAACATAAAACCAATATAATAAATTATAAATATATATATATATATATATATATATATATAATAAAATAAATAAGAATCTATAGAAGACATATTTTTTTAAATTATAGTAATAATAAAATATGATTTAAAATAGAATAAGATGTTTAAAATATTTTTATAGTATCCTTATATATTTTGACTTCTAATAAAATTTAAGTAATTTTTTCTAAGAATCTTATTGAAAAAACCTTTATTTTTTAGTTAAATATTTTTATCATAAATTCCATTGAAATGTTTATAGAATTCATAGTATGTTGCATTTGTAGATTATATGATGTATATATATATATATGTATGTATGTATGTATATGTATGTGAGTATAATTGTATGCATGTATTTATTTATATATCAGAGAATAGAAATTAAAAAATTAATGCATTCTAAAAATTTAAGAATTTTTAAAAATTTGTAAACTTTTAAATTTATAGCCTTAAAATATAGTATTAGTAAATAAGTAAATTTTGATACTTGATAAGATCTTTTTATTGAAAATCAATTTGCTATGCTTCAAAAATGCTAGATTATTTCATTCAAATTTATATTAATTCACTTTGCTAAAAATTTACAACAAAGCTTTCTTCATCATTATTTTTATTCTACATCTATTACTCTTGGTTTCATAAATATACAACAAATTTTTGCTTTAAGTACTTTTTAGAATTATTTAAAATCTTCTAAAAACTTTTAGTTGAATGTACTATCTTTTTGGATCTTTAGAATTCTCTAAAAACTTTCTAAAATATATTAATTGAGTATACTATGATTTTGGATATTTAGAGTTCTCTAAAAGCCTTCTAAAATCTTCCATGGATTTTTGTGAAACTTTTATAGCTTTCTACAACAATCAAAGACCTTCTATAATCTTTTAGTGGATTTTATAAAAAAAAAAAAAAAAAAAAAAAAATTAAAGATATTTCTTATCTATTAGGATTTTGTTTAAAAGATTCCATAGGACCAAGTTTTTGTGGTATAAATAAAATAAAAAAATTTAAAAAGAACTTTAATTTTTCTAATGTATGTTTTGTTCCTAATTGTGAATCTAATCTTGTATCTAATAAAATATCTTCTTTGTCTTGTACTTCTTCATCACTTGACACATTGTGTTGCATTTAAGTCACTTAGAATATAGCTTTATGACTTTTATAATCCCATCTTTTGTATAGATACAACACTACTTTTACAAAAATAAAATTTAGAATAAATGAAAGAGTACATAGAACACCATTTAGAAGGAATAAAAATAACAATAAAACATTGACAAATACAACATTATTCTATCCTATGGTTACCTTTTTCTTGCTTAGAGGAATGACTTTGAATATCACCATAATGGGACAATCATAGATTGTTAGCAATCACATTTGAGGATTATCTTTCAACCCTCTCCCTAGCTCATGACATTGTTTTGAGAATGACCATGAACCACTCTCCCAATGACTTCCATTTTCTATTTAAGTTTATCTTTTGAGCAATCCTCTCAATTGTTGTAAATCATTCAAGATCATTGAGTAAATGCCAGTTTTCTGGATGAATGGGGGGCAGGCAGTCGCTTGTTTCAAACAGCACAGGTGCTTCAACATTGTTAGAAGCCTTGAAACATTCAAGTGCATCTGTTGCTGGGCTTATTGTTCCTTATTTTTCTATAGAGGAATGAACTTCCATCTTCATGGTGAGGAACACGTCCATTGTTGGTGGGTTAGTGCAATCAAACTGCTTCTGATACAAAAACAGGTTCAGCAGACTAAATTAAGAAACAAACGTTGGTTTGATGTCTTCGCCCCCAATCTCAAGCACGATTTCATACCATGAGTTTGTCATTACATCAAGTGAAGAAACGAGTGAAAGATAAGTAATCTCGAACCAGTTACATGAATGTCCTAAATCTGTAGCAAAGAAGTTTTTGATAGCTGAATCTCAGATGTTCATCGTTCTGGAATAAGAAACTTGTGAGAAGTACTCTGAAAAATGTTGTGGATGGGGTCACGAAGAGTATAGATCGGATTAGGTTTGCACTCAAAAACTCTGTAATTGGATTTGTTATAGAAAGACCTGATCTCTTCGGGATATACACTCGCAATCTTTTCTATCAACTCCACGATCGTCTCCGCTGCTCCGAGTTGGAGTTCTTGCAACCTCGCAAAGGAGCCCGAAAGTAGAAGCTTAGTTTGAAGTTCGACGCTGGTTGGCACTAGCTTTGCGATTTGGATTAAGACCAGCTTCAGACATTGTTCAGGCATTATTGGACCCTAAAAGAGAGAAATCAGTCAGATAAAAAAGAATGACAGGGTGCATACTGCATGATGAAATAATTGTTATGGATGATGAGCAAAATAGACCTCTCTGCAAATAAAATATTTTTTCGTTTGAGAATCGCTCACTTACATTTAGCAAAGAATCGAGAGCCGGAGTGTATTCTAGGCGGTTAACAATACTCTTGATCGAAAATTCGCACTTTTTTCGCAAATCTTCACTGGTGCGTTTGGTTTTGGCACAGACTACCAAGTGTAACATTGTACCCACGAGAGCAACTTCTTTAGCGTGCACTGGGGTGTGTTTTCCAATTTGTCCCAGAGACCATGCACTCGCTCCTTTAACATGGTCCTCATCTTCGTGTTCAAGGACATCGACTAAGGGAGGCAAAGCATTCGAGGAAATCACTGCAGTCGATAGTTCAGGTGAAAATGACGCTAGATGTCCCAAAGCCATTATTCCTGCACAAGCAAAACATTCTACATGATGAGTTTGAACTCATCGAAAATCGGGTAAATTGAATTTTTGTATTCTAAGACCTTTCATTAGAACATATTGGGACGTGTGAAGCACATTGTTCTGCTTATATACTTTTCTGAATGAGTGGCCGCAAAAACAATCATCCGGTTGGAATGGAACAGTCAGTATACATTTATGTTCAAAAACATGAACTGCAAATGCTGTGCAACATTTTGATTACAAAGAGCAAACCCGGCAAGCGCTCATGACTCCGAACATCAGATATGTTGTCGACAAGAGCAGGGGCACATCCCGCACTTAACACAAATCGTGCCTGATCTTTTGTATGTTTGCAAACCTCACAAATAACCATAGCTGCATTTCTTCTAACCATTTGTTCAATGTTCTTCAGCAGTAAGATCACATTTGGAAAAATCTTTGTATCCAAAACTGCCTGCATATTTCAAATTCACCAAGTCACACATTTCAATGCAGCTGGTACAATGCTTCAGAGAAGCTCAATGTTTGCCTTTATTGATCAAAGAATGTCAAATTTAATCACAGAATGATGTCCACATTATTTTTACATTACAGATTACATTTAGTACCATACTTGAGCTAAGCATTCTGAATGCCTCGAAACACTATGTAAAACTGCACATCCCTGCATTCAAGTTTCTTCACAACGTTATTACCTATTGGACTTGCTACCTGTGAGCTTATTCTTCAGATCATGGAGTTTTAGATCCAATAATCAGCAAAAGGGTATGCACGAGTTTGTATTTTCGTAAAGCGAATCGACAGCTGCCATCAAACTTTGCTAATAACAGAATAGTAGTTCATGGGATGTAACATTTCACCTCTGCTTTGAGTCTAGTATCAGGCTGATCAACGTCCAGAAACGCTGATACATGGGATAAGACACCAGATTCAACCACTTTGGTGCCGAGTTCAGGTGTATGTTTTGCAATCTGTGCTAATGAAGCACACAGTTGACGCCTTAACGGTAGGTCCTCATCCTGATGATTACAAGGAACCCAATTAAATCCAATCATGTCAACATATGTGTATGTGAAGTAATATAAGCATAATTTATGCAGAAATCGTAATCGAATCATACATTGATCAAACCAGCCATTGATTCTACTGCACCCCGATCCGCGGCGATCTGAGCCAGTGCAGGACTATGGTGTGCGATGTTGCCCAAAGTTCCTGCAGCAATTTCTTTCACAGATGGGTCGAACTCCAAAAGCACTGGTATTAGAAGCTCAACTCCTCCCTGATCCACTATTGATTGTGCTAAGAATGCCGAATGCTTGGACATAGCCCTCAACACATTTGTTGTCGCTTTCCTACTAAGCCGATGAGCTTCCCTGCAGTATGAATGTTACGTTACGGAAGTATTGTCCATCCTTTAGTGTAAGAAGTAAATCACAATACTGCCTGAACGAACATGAAGTCGAGGAACAAAACTTCCGTCATGAGTGAATCTGGTAACTATAGAAACAACATAAAAAATGGCTAAATAGAAAAGTTATACTGGCGTGTGTATTATGCATGAATCCACGACATACCTCAGCGAATGGGTCAATTGAACAAGTATCCCTTCCGTAATCATACATTCAGCAAGCCTGTCATCCCAGGCTGCTAATTTACTCAAATTTTCACAAGCCAATTGTTGGATTTTTCGAACGTTATCGAGTAGCAAAGGTCTTATCAGCTCCATTGCTCCCGCGTTAATGAGGATGTCAACATTCTGCATCTATAAGAGCAGTAAAAGCGCCATTTCAGGTCAAAATTGTCCCCTATATACACGGATCACACACATGCACACTTGCTACCCTAAGAGGTTTCCTCATATATGCAATGATGAGTAGCCTTAGAGGACAAATTGTTACAAATTCCGGCTAGTTGCTTTCAAATATTGTAAATGTGGTTGAAATTCAAATCTCATTCATTGTTGCTGCTTTCCAAAGTCAATTACTGTTGACCAATGTGAGTGCAACTGCCAAAAGAAAGTGAAATAATAATCAGGAAGACTGCTGCACCAGAGGTTTCGAAAAAAGCTCGGCAAGAGATTGGAGAAAAACATATCGTGCTTTCTCCCAAGTCTCAAAATGTTGAAGAATGGCCCTTGTTGTTGCCATGAAGCTTGTTGGCTACTTCATCAGATTGAGTGCATCCTTATCCACAATCGAACCAAAAGCTTGAAAATAGCTTGCTGCGATCCAAAACTCCGTAAATGTAAGCACACATCAGAACGTTGACGAGCCGCCTACCTAACCGCTAGAACTACATGTAAAGAGGCGTTAATAAAAGCAAAAGGGAGCAAAACGATACACTACAATTCGTTCCATATGTCATAATCATGCGACCAGCCTCCACCACACAATTTCACAAGGGAAGAAGACTACTTCAACTGCTGTAAACGGCACAAATGGCATCAACTACTGCACTGAGCAAAATTAGTTAGACAGTTACAAAGAACGCAGGTCGTGTTAATTGCAAACTTCAAGGTTTTCATGAACCGATCACTTTCAATTCACCGTTCGTATCTCCAATGGTCAATGAATTGCAAAATTATTAAAAAGCGATTTCATGATGTTTCAATGACATCTGCCAGATTCCTGAGCAACGAAAAACAGAAGAGTCTTACAAAAGTTTTTCTGTATCAGACATTAATGGAATATGCAAGCAAATAAAAACCATGTGGCTGAACGTGAGAGAGAGGGGTCACGCACAAAAGAGCGTAAATCTTAACTGATCGACAGACATTACAAAGCATCATGCAAAATCAAGTGCGTTTCATCCCAAGGCGGCTTGTGTGCGCACCATAGTTGCCCATCACAGCAGGCTACGAAACATTGCAAAGAACCCTAAAAAGTTTCAGATCGTTGAGATTGTTAGGAAGCCCACACAACCGTATCTTGGTACCGACTACCGTAACTCTGAACATCACCGGTTTACAAGACTTGATATCGTTAGCAATGCCTACTGGATCTTCATTCTCCTTTAACCTATACGTTTCAATGCAAAATGTCCCTCAGTTGCTGTAGAAAACCCGAAAGATCCAGAGTCATCGTGTCCAGAAACTACTTAGGTAGCGCTGCCCTAGTACCAGGGCCAACATAGCAGTGAACAATATAAAACTACTCAAAAGCTTACAGTTTTAGTTCACGCAAAAAACAGCTCTATAAAAGCATTCATCATGAAGAGCCTACAACACCAAAAGATAAAGATTCTATCAATCACACAGAATGCAGTACTGTGGTAAGATGGAACCATTGCTGCAATACCACTATTGCAAGCGAAGTTGAAATTATGAGCAGTCTCTGTCATGTTCTCAAAACTACTAAGTCGCATGCATGGAAGCTCAGATACAGTGAGTAGAATATGCGCTATGAATACGAAGCTCTTATAAGTTACAATTCTTTCTCAATGACAGACGTGAAGACACGGCCAATTAAGAAAGATATGTTAGAACAAAATTATTACTCGAAGTGTTGGAGCTTGGAAGCAAGAAACAGGCGTAAACCACGCCTGCAGGGTCTCATCTACAATATAAAACGTCCCAAAAAATAGGGTTTCCATATCCATAGGCTACTTGATATGGCATTTTAGGGTTTAAGCTCACACTCAACTCGATCCCATAAAATTGCTCGAATACTGACAGAAACGAAGAGCACATTCTCTACTACCGCGTCCAGCATGGACAGCCAACACTAAATGTTCGAGGCGAACGACATCACCGCATGTAGGAAGGGATCTTGATATGCAAGAACAACATGCTCATCATGTACGAGACGAAAACGCAGCCCACGCCAGCTCCCATAAACGAGAGACGCACATTGCGAGGTTGAGCCTTCTCACAGGCAAGGTCCATCATGATCAGCCCCACTCCGCCCAGCACGAACATAAACCCAGAAGACAGCCCCTCGATGATGTACTGTCCGTTCACACGACCGGGAAGAAACACCACGGGCTGCACCGCTCCCGTGATCGGATCCTGCTTGCTTCCAATTCCCGGCGGCTCCACAATGACATCGTACACGAACCCTGATATGACCAAGAAGTAAGTGAGCAGCACGAAGACGAACAACGTCATGGCCGACGGCAGCTCCCATGTTGACAGCTTCATGACTGCTGAAGCGACGATCGCCAGAAACCCAAGTCCAGACAGATACCTAAAAGAAAGAAGCGACTCACTCCTCTGCAGATTTCTATTTGGGTTACCAGTCCTGGTTACTGCTCGGCGATTCGGGGTGCCTGGCTATGGCGTCCGAAGCTCCAGAATCCTCTGCAACGTGCGATCTGAAGGTCAAACAGACACTACCGCACATACACACACTCTCTGACTTCCTTGCAAAACAACATCGATGCCTACACTTTTACCTTTTACCTTTTACTTTTTTCCAGACATTGGGTTGTCACACCTCAAATTTCCCTGATATCTTGCAACCTTGGGAAGAAACCAAGATTTTGTGTAAATTTTGTTTTTTTCTTTTTATAGTAAAAAATTAAACTTTGAATGTATGAATCATATTTTGTATGTACATACACATTTATTCTAGTTACATGTGGGGCCAATCCAAAAAATAGTCCAAGTGAAGTAAGATAAATGAATTTGATTTTTTTCACATTTGATATTTGAACCTAAACATTTATAGAGACTACATGTGTTCATTGCCAATTTTTTGGCAATTTTATAATTCAATTGTGTAAATTTGTAATACTAATTAAATTAAAAAGTAATTTTGTTAAAATTTCTATATCTAATATTTAAGAGTTCATTAATTTTTGGATAGAAGAATGACAACACTAAACCAAACAGAATCATAATGATCATTTCTAAATCAGCACAATTCCATAATATACTTGTCTACAAGTTTTTTATAAAAAAACAAACAAAAGAAAAGACTTAAACATAAGTTAGATAGCAAATAGAGCGTGAAGTTAGGAAATTGATTTTGTTTTCTACAACCAAATTAAAAGTGGAGGGAAATTCTAGAACATGAATTAAAGATTGGAACTTTATATATCTTTAAAGAATTAAGGAAGTTGGAGAATAAGTCTTGAAGTACAAGGATTTAGCAATAATTACGGCTTTTAAAAAGTAGAATATTATTTTTTTCTCATTATATTAAATAATTTAGAAAATAAAAAAATACAAATTAATAACTTCTTTAATTGATAGAATGTAGTGATATACTAAAAAAACACATTATGATTTTTTTTATCTCTTAGAAATTTTGCAAAAAAAACCTACTATATATATACATATATCTCAAATTATGTTGATTTATTGAATAAAAATGTGATACATAAAATGTGTTCTTTTGATATGTTAACTACTATATATATATATATATTTAAAATTATTGATATGATTTAAAATCTATATTTTATTATATTTAATTTTTTAAAAATTTTATGCATAAATTTATATCTATATAAGTTTAATGGTCAAAATTATAAATAGTCAAGATATAAAAATCACTTTTTATAAAAAATAGTTTTGTAGATGATATTATAATATTAAAAATAAAATACAAGTTTGAAAATTACAAAAAAAAGACATATATTATAAAAAAATAAGAAATTATTAAAATTTAAAGTATTGATTGATAATTTTATTAAATTTAAGTTATTTATAAAGGTAAAATTTTTAATAGATAAATAAAATTAATTAAAAAATAATAAACTTCAATTAAATACTAATAAGTGTATTGCATGTAGATACATAATTAAATTGTTAATATCTTAAATCATTTGTAAAATTTAGGTGATAAATTTATGATTCATATGAATGCTTAATAATTATTATATGCCATTTAAGCTAACTTTGAATATAATAGTAAACATTGGTAATTGTAATGTTTTATCTAAAGAAGTATATTTACAAGGTTTTAATTCTAGGAAAATAAATTAATCTACCTCAATCCTAAATTAAATCATTATGTGACTTTTGGTACAATTATATTTATCAAATACCAGTGCAATATATATTAGATATTAAGGATATGTCTGAGAATTATATATACATTTCACATTAAAGTTCCCCAAATATTGATGCTTTAAATCAAGCAACACATTGTTGTATTATAACACAACTATTGGATGAAAGATAAAGAAAATTACTATATTTTAAAAGAACTTATAGTAGCAAATTGCTTTAGAAACATAGCTAAAAGTTATGGAGGTAGAAAAATAAATAAATAAATAAAATAAAATAGTACTTATATTACCTTTAATAAAAAAAATAAACAAATAAAAAATATAGATAAAATGTGTCTACTTACTTTGTGGGACTATAAACAAGTCAAAAAACATTAGGTTAGAAAGAATAATATTATAGGCACCTTAAAATAAAAGTGAAGATTAGCTTTCAACGAAAATTACTTAAAAAAACTTTAGATTGATATCTAAAGAGGATCAATTTTGAATAAGGGTTTAAATTAGATTCTAACATATAAAAGTATGTACCTACAATAAATTTCAAGTTTTTAGATGATAAAAAAGAAAGATTTGAGAGAAAAATTTACAAAGTTAGGATTGTTTGTGATGACTTTGTTTTGTATTGAACAGAAAAGCAATTGAATTTTGGTGAATTGTGTAACTTATGTAGTAGATCTACATATGAAACTCTAAAAGCTTGTGGAAATAGTTTTGTTAGATGTGTATCTTGAATTTAAGCTTTATTAGATGATCAAATCAAAAGTAATTGAGATTTAAATTAGAATCTTAGAAATTGAATTTTGAGGATCAATGAATATTTCTACAATTTTGAGCAATTTGCTTGTTGGATTTGAGTGATTTTCCATGTACTAATTAATAACTTATTTTTAAATATTTATGTAAATTTTGAATACGAGTTAATGGTTCAAATGAAAGATTTTGATATTGAAAGGTTTATATTAATGTTGAAAAAGGAAGACAATTGACATCCAAGCCAATTATGAATATTTGTTTTTGATATGTAAGTTTAATTTTCTTCAAAATTTGTGTGCTTATTATCAAATAATCAATCAAAATTCTTAAAAATATATATGTTAAAGATGAATAATAAAAATAATAATTATTAAGGTTTAAAATTTGTTATGGTGTTTATTTAAGATTTGATTAGGATTTATTTAAAATTTGATTATAATTTTTAAATTTTTTAAAGAATTCTATTAATATTTTATTATATTTAATTAGAATCTATTTAGAATTATTTAATTAAAATTTAAAATATATTAATAATTAATTTATAATATCTTTTTATTTCTTTAGATTTTTTATGATATTTTTATGATTTCTTTAGAATTTCTTTAAAAATTCTTTAGAATTTAATTATAATACTTTTAGAATTATTTAAGATTTATTTAAAGTTGAATAGAATGTGATATGATTTTTTTATGTTGTTCAAGATTGCTAGGAAGGTTTTTCTAAATACCTTCTTTGTTATTTTTTTGGGTTGTAAATCCATCTTCAAGGTAAAATTAAACCCTTCTACAACCAAATGTCCATTGCATTTCTAATCTCATTTTTACATAACACGACAATATTGGTTTGGCCATTGTAGTTCTAAAGCTCATCTTAGCCAACCTCAATTTCTTTGTAATGAAGTATTTTCAAACCTAAATATTACATCTTTTAATTCAATTAAAAAAAATATAAACATTCTATTATTGATTATCTATATATATATATATATATATATATATGTATATACACACATTAGAAAAGGATTTTGATAGATAGAATCATACCAAAAGCCACAAAGTGTCAAGAACATGAACTGAAAGAAGATGCATAAACTTAAGAAATTTGTATTAAAAGAAAAGTGACAAAATATAAATAAAGTAGTATGTATATTGAAAAGAAACTGGAATGGCTATTGCCTAATGATAAGGAAATTAGAGACTCTTAAATCTAAACTAGAATCAAGAAAGAAATTGACAAGAGTGAAGAAGGCTTCATTCTTGCCTCTATATATACTATCTAACTATAAGCTACGTGGCAATGTTCTATACGACCTCTAATATGTGTTGACTTTACAAGACACATGCTTTACCTTATAAGATAAGTTTTCTATGTATGGGCCACATAATTAGCTTGTTCTTCAAGCTACCAATATGTGTGGCACATGGCCAACTTATTGATTACGCTCTAATCTAAAAAATCAATTAAAGTTACATATAAAGTCAAAACAGTGTCTATAAAGCTTCTAAAAAGCTTCTACAGAAGATATTATAGAATTAATTTATTTTTATTTAATATTATCTAAATCATGTAGATAATTATTGGTTTACATGTGTATGTCTATGACATTATCCTTCCTTCTAGAGACGAATTCTATGAGAAGCTGTCTTCATATGTTGAAGAAGTCCAAGATGCGACAAATTGTATTTGCTACATATTTTGATCTTTGTTCTCTTCGAAGATGGTTGACTGTTAGGGACCATATATAAGACAAGGATTCAAGACCAAAAAATAGAATTAACTTGACATTAAAATAATAACTAGATATAAGACAAGAAGGTCCTAGCTAAACCACAAGAAGTGAGTTGCCGAGATTGAGGATTCCCTCAGCCTTGACTCCTATATATACTAAGTCCTACAAAGCTTTTTAATAAGTTTCTATGAGAGTTGAAAAAAATATAAGCGTAAGATCCTTCTTAAGCAACTTCCTAAATCATCTAAAGCCTCCTAGAATCTACTAGAACCTTTCAAAACCTTTTAGAACCTTCAAGAGCCTTCTTAAAATCTATTGGTACCTTCTGGAACCTTTTATAGTTGTATGTTTGTGACATCATCTCCTCTTTTAGCTTTGAGGTCTCCGAGAAGCAATGTTGTAATAAGCTAGTATATGCGTAAGAAGTTGAAGATCTGTCGCATAGTGTCTGCTATATATTCTAGTTTTTTTTTGCAAGATAAATGGTTCATAGGCCCTTGTAGCCATTGATAGTATTCAAAGCCTTTTACTTGTGATTAAGCATGAATTTTAGTATCTTCATTACTATCCATATCATATAAAATAGACAAGACCAAAAGAATATAAATATGCTATGATTATAAACTCAAACTATTGACTTATACTATTCTAAATATTTGACAACAATTGCCTCTTCAAAGGTTGCTTCCTCCCCTTCTTTATGAGGCTAAGAACTAAAAATCTTTATAATGAAGCCATCTTATCAAGCTACTATTCTTCATTTTGTTACTTTTGGTTTACATGGATATTGTTGATGGAACCTTCAAACCTTCATTTGTGTATTTATAGGATTTTCAACTAGTTCTTACGTGTAATTATTGATATCATATCCATACCAATGGACCAGATATTCAAGCCTTCCATGTTTTATCCT